CAGTAAAGATGTTTTGAACAATGGTTAATGGCTAAAACAAATAAATGTACTAGACATCATAAAGCACTATGGTAAAATACTGTAGCGAAGAGGGCAAAACTGAATTATCGATTATGCTAAGTGAACAGAATAAGGGGGTGAAGAAGAGAAGGAAAAGGAAAGGGGGAAAGGAAAAGACCATGCAAAATTAGTTGAGGCGAGGGTTGAGGTCCAAGACAGAGGTGATCCCTGCACCTGCAAGTATCTGCTAATGGTTTTATGCACAAAAGAGGTTAACTGGTCATTCTAACCAAACACTATGGGTATAGCAGCCTTGTTACGTATTTCAGGAAAATCTTTGGAGGTTTAACTACAACCTAAAATTCAAACTTTATTTCATACTCAAAATAAGACATGTAGAGATAACTTTCTGATAGAAATCTATAAAAAAAATCCACTCACAGTCGTTTGCCGGTCGAGCCCTTGGAGTGTTGAACTGGGTCATGCCCATCTTCGTCGCTCTCTCCACCTTCGGGAGTCTCAACGGCTGCATCTTCGCCTGTTCTCGCCTCTTCTTCGTGGGCGCTCGGGAGGGGCACCTTCCACAGGCTCTGGCGCTCATCAACGTGCACACCATCACACCCGTCCCAGCCCTCGTGTTCTTGGTAATGTATCTATCTGTTGGTTTTTGCCCATCGAGTGTATATACGACTTGGTTGGTGGATAAACTGGTTAAATGCCTCTTCTCCGTTGCTCATTTTTGTAGTAACGTTTTATTGCAGCTGGGTATGGCGTTACTGTAGAGTATTTCAATTTTCCTGTTTAGGGCTGAAGACAATTTTTAGAAATTTTAATATGTGATTATAAAGTGTCTTTTGACCGCCGCAAAACCATAACAATTCCTCTTGGGAATACTGAATAAACCTTATTAGAATAAATGCAACTCAAATATGCATTGTCTTCAAGACTACATTCTAAGCCTCTGAAATGCATTAAATAACCCAAAATAGTTTAAAGTCAACAAACCAAATTGCAATCTTAGATCTAATGTCTTCCTAAAAACGGCTCATGGAAATTTTGAAGACTAAATTAAACATGTTCTATGGCATTATCATACCTTGGCGTTCGCAGGGCTTTATGACATTGTGTATGCTCGTGACTTCCGACACGTTGGTGCTGATCAATTATGTGTCCTTCTCCGAGTCTCTGTTCGTCTTTCTGTCCATCGCAGCCCTACTTTGGATGCGCTACAAGGACCCGCATCGCCACAGGCCAATAAAGGCAAGATTCTTCAGTTGAAAAATGATAAATATGAAGGATTCACGTTTATGGAACTCACAGTCACCACAATCTCTCATTTACACACGTACACATACACATAATGGTTATATGCATGTACATGTATCTACAGTACACATATATGTTTGTATTTATGAAGTTCCACCGTTGCGCATACCAATAATTAACAATTAAGTACTAGATAACCTACCACATTACTTCTTTCCTTCAGATCTGGATTGGGATTCCCATCGTGTTCTTCTTCATCTGTCTGTTCCTCGTCGTCTTCCCTATAGTGGAACGCCCCGTCGAGCTGGGTATTGCTAGTGGCATCTTCTTGGCTGGCGTTCCGGTCTACTATCTGTGCGTTCACAAGGCGAACAAGTCTAAGAAATTCTGTGCATTTATGGGTAAGATGCTGTTGTTTTTCATAAGATGATATGTGATGGGTTTGTTTTCTACCAGTTACTATTTGTTTTTTAGATGAAATATGATGAATTTGTTAAAGTTCAGATTTTTTAGAAATAGTGGGTTATGAATGGGAAAAAGGACACGGTTGTCTGAATTTATATTGACTTCTCAATCTAGTTCACTCTTAGTACAGCAAATCTGGTTATTACAGGAAAATTTACATCCGTTATCCAGCTGCTGTACCATGGACTGCCCGAGGAAGATGATGAATGAGACTGAAAATTTATTGTTACGATACTACCGACAAATGATGACCTGTAACGTCACGAACAGAATCGTAACTGGTCTAGTTCAATTTATAACTTTACTCAAGTACATGTAATTACCATAATGGTATATATCGAGAGGCGTAAAGTGTATCTTCTGTTTTGTGAATTTAATCACTCTTATTATTTTTTTTCGTGTATGTTATGGTTGTATTGGCAGTTGCTGCTCGAGTAAGATAAGATCTGGAGTAGAGTAATTATAAGACTGATATAATTGTAGCTGGTGAAATTTCTTTCTCATTCAGGTTTTAAAATATTATTAGAAGTAGTAGTAGAAGCAGTATTACTATAATTACTATTTTATTATTGTAATCAAAGTAGTAGTAGTAGTAGGAGTATTAGTAGCAGCTGTAGTAGTAGTAGTGGTAGTAGCAGTATTGATTGTAGTAGTCGTAGTGGTATTAGGTTAGCTTTGAGATTAATATTTGCCTTCATTTCTAACTGAATGTTTCTTGTTACATTTGCCTTCGAAAAATCTCTATATTTTTGTTTCCCTTTTAAACCTT